ATAGCATTATATCAAGGAGTTGCTTCACTAAAGCAACCATAACGAACCATACTTGTTTCATCGCAGAGAATCTCGTAGTTCCGAACGATCAATACATTGTCCGAATCGGCTTTTACCATACATTTTGCGCTTCGAAATCTGAAACACCTACTTTTCATCAAACTACAGACTTCCTCTGCAGTCGACTGCACCTTGTATCTTTGTACAGTAACATGGCATAGGTTTTTATGGATAGTGAATAATAGTCCTCTTCAATTTCAGTTACGATCACATCATGGTAGCGACCTTCTTCAATAGCTAGCAGTTCTTCTTCTTCCAGTGAGCGCTGGAAAACAAACTAGTTCAACACGAAAAAGAATTTGAGAGCTTTGCTTTGTGTCCCCCAGGACCTAGAATTAGATGCTATGGATTTCTTGTGAAACACTCGTTTTTCAAGCTTACAATCTTTGCGCGGAGATCTCGCAACACCGCTTTCGTGACAACAAAGACAAATCTAACATTACAGCAACGTTGTGCTATCGAAGCATGCCGGGCTTATCTCGAAAGCGAAAGCTTAAACACTTACGAAACATCTCCGACAAAACTCCAAGTGTGCACAAGAGAAACAACGTACGGGTTTTCCTATGAAAAACATCACTTTCGTGCTCTCCTCGTCGTACAGGTCCTTCATGGCCCAAGATTCGCGAATGCGTTGCCTCGTTTTAAAGTGATGTGGTAGTGAGTTTACTAATATTAGCACTTTCAGGGTTGTTCTTATGTGAGGTTCAATAATAAAACGAATCCGCAGATCCATGGGAGTAGTATCATCCTCTGAAAATGTATAGAAAAACAGGCCTTGACATAAAACTGCAAAATCCACTGACTTATCAAGAATGGGGGTTCATACCAGCCCAGAAAAATTGGTACGTAATGCCGCGCCAAAGGCACAAAGGCCAGACAGAATATCAACAGGTAGGCACGAGCATGAAATTCTTGATAATGTGACGTATTTGAGGAGTCGCTTGGAAAACGGACTAGGTCTGAAATAGAAAGGACTTGCTATGTTTGGATTTCATTTTTACAAGCACTTCGAAATTCCTTAAAACAAAAAGCCCTCAAAAAAGTAGTCATCAAAACTAAAAGAATGATTTTCTTTTTGATAAATACTACGCAGCATCAAAAAAA